CACCATTCTAAAAAACAGCAAACCCGTGACATTATTTGTCGATGTCTTCGATTTCGGAACCGTCTATGAGCCAGCGGAAAAAGTGAAACTTCAAGCGAGGATAGTACTGTGCTTTTGCTTGTTGAACTGAGCGGCTCTGTATCAAACCATCGAGAAGAGGAATTGAGCGCAGGGAGACGGTGGCTCGATCCCGAATTTCAGAGCAACAGACATTGGTCAAACAAAACGTTGATTGAAAGTGATGTTGTCTGCATATCGAAGTTGTTCATTGAGTGATTGTCAAGTAAACGGAGGTGAGGAGGCATGTGGAACTGCGAGTTACCATGGATGGTGTTGGTCGACATGATAAACTCCGACAGTCTCTCACCCTGCTCATTCCATTCCATTCCGTGAGTACCGATGTGAAGTTCTTCAGCCGTTCTTCTTGGGCCAATCTTAGCGTTGAAGTCGCCGACGATGGCTTTGAAGTATGTGTTATCTCCCCGTAAAACTACAGTTGTTCCTGATACCCGATGAATTTGGTGGAAGTTGGAGTTGAACCACATCTTCTCAATCTGAAACGTACGACTGAGTCTCGTTAGACTTCCACACGAACTCGATGTCTATACAAGGGCGATGAATTGACGATACAAGTCCCATATCACCAACGCTTTGCCTTGGTCGCCAATTTCCGTGGAACCACTTACTTAAATGTTGGGAAAACGGCGTGCAGCGGGCAGTGCCTTCTCGTCTTGGTCAGTCTGGTGACGTCATACTCAATCTTCCTTACTCGGCTTACATCGCCAGATCTTCAGTGTTTCCCGGCTTTAGATGTGTTCTTAGGATGCGGATCCTTACATGAATGTTTAGATCTCCACCTTAGTCCTTCCTTATCCTGGCCACTTGTTCTTTCCCGAGATTTAATCGGCTTCCCTGAACGGTCCTACCCAGCTGTTGTATTGTGGTAGCCCTCAAGTTTTGGAGTGAGAACAATTCATGTTACTGTCTTCGCCACATAGAGTACACACAAGTAGCTTGGCTTGCTCTGTCCTGGTGGCTGGGACATCCTATATCGGAGTTAACAGTGGGAGGGCTGTTTTCGGAGGCGACCCCGGTCCATTTATTATGAGTCTTTTTGCGCCTTGAGGCAGCTACATGGTGGTCTGCGATTTACTCCTATACCCTACCTGGAGCCGCGCCACGTAACCTTACTAGCAACCGGCTGGAGATTTTCCAATGCGAAAGAAGCTTCAACGAAAGGGATTCGTGAACTTTAATCACCTGTATCACCTGTATCACCTGTCGTCCCGTTGATCATCGAATTGCTCGAGCGGGCGCCAGCAACGTCTCCATTCGTCCCTGTCGCGTGCAAGAGTTGTCCAGTGGACCCTCCTCGCTCGAGGGACACGATGTCCTTCATTCCTTTCGTTCAGAGCTTTCGTGAAGAAGTCTGACCATCGGGCCGGCGGTCGTCCAGGTGTTCGTTTGACGTCCCGAGGGATCCAGTCGGTAACCGCTCTGGTCCAACGGTCATCGCAAAATCGCATGACGTGTCCGGCCCACCTTATCTTCGATTCCTTGGCGAAAACGGCAGCGTCCCTGATCTTCGATCGTTGGCGTAGTTCGGCACTCCGGATTCCCCTCTGCACTTGCGTGTATAGGGTTACTCCTAGCATCGTCCTCTCGACAGCGCGTTGGATAACGCTGACCGCATGCTCGTCCTGCCTGCGCAGAGTCCAAGTCTCTGAGGCGTAGGTTAGGGCAGGAAGGACAGCGGAATCGAAGAGGTGGGCACGGAGCCGGATGTTCTTCGTCTTCTTCACTACTCCCTCGATGTTCTTATACGCTCCCCAAGCCGCTCGTTTCCTCCTGCTCAGCTCTGGAGCTAGATCGTTCATCATATTGATTTCCCGACCTAGGTACACGTAGCTGGAGCATTCGGTGATGTTCGTTCCGTTGAGCGTGAATGGGGCATCAGGAACCAATCCGTTTCTCATAAACATCGTCTTCGTTAGGTTCAGCTGTAGACCAACCTTACCACAGGCGCAGTCGAAATCAGCCAGCATTCGCTCCGCTTGCTCGATGTTCGGCGTTATAAGAACGATGTCGTCAGCAAAACGAAGGTGGTGTAGTTGCCGGCCGTCGACCTTCACTCCCATGTCTTCCCATTCCAGTTGACGCATGACGTTCTCGAGAGCGGCGCTGAAGAGTTTGGGCGAGATGGTGTCGCCCTGTCGGACCCCTCTCTTGACGTCGATGATGACCTCCTTGTAGAATGGTGAGATTCTGGTCGTAAAGTTGCTGTAGAGCTCACGAAGAATCTTGATGTACTGAGTAGGGACGCCCTGGTTGCCCAAGGCTTCGATGACCGCTTCTGTCTCCACAGAGTCGAAGGCCTTCTTCAAGTCGATGAACGTGAGACAAAGCGGCATCTTGTACTCTCGTGAAACTTCAATGAGTCTTGTAACCGTGTGGATATGGTCGATCGTGCTGAACCCTCTTCGAAACCCTGCTTGCTCGCATGGCTGTCCTTCATCTAGTATTCTGCCGATCCTGTTAAGGATGACTCGAGTGAATAGCTTGTAGATTACAGACAGCAGGCAGATTGGGCGATAGTTGCCAATGTCGTCCAGGTCTCCCTTCTTGTACAGCAACACGGTCCTGCTGGTTTTCCACGGAGTGGAGTGGGTACCTTGCATTCCGACAGGTAGCGCGTGAAGAGTCGAGCCAGAGTTTTGATGATGACTGGCGGCGCATTCTTCAGATGTTCCGGTTTGACCCTGTCGAGACCGGGTGCTGTACGATTCTTCACCGACTTGATGGCGTGTCGTATAACATTCTTCACCGGCTAGATGAGCGTGTCGGACTTCGGAAGAGAGTACTGAGGGGACGACGTATCCATCCTGTTGCAGTTGATAAGTGGGCAGATGGACATGGCTATCGAAGAGATCCGAGTAGAAGTCGTGGATGACTTTCTCCATTGCCCTTCGGGATGCAGTAACTGTTCCATCCGGACGTCGGAGGCAGGTCATCTTGGTCTTGTAGCTGGCAAAGCTTCGGCGGGCATTGCGGATGCTCCTCCCAGCCTCTGCTGCTTCAGCTAATACTGCTGCTCTTCGCTCCTTGAGATCTTCCTTTATCGCCTCTCTGCATAGCTTCGCAAGCTCGGACGTGAGTTGGTGATTGCCTGCAGCTCGTGCGGCTCCACGTGGCGTATCAGCTCGAGAGTTTCCGTAGACAGACGTCCTTGGTGACTTGCAAACTCTCTGCCTTCCTGCCACTCTCGTGAAGGTGTTCAACGAGCCGATGATATTCCTCGTCGATGTTTTCGATAACGGAATCCTCCCATAAGCTGACAAGAGAAGCGAAGTGATCCCAGTTGATGACTGTCCTGGGGCTTCGCTTCCTGAACTTTGAGGCTCTCTCAACACGCATCGAAAAGTGGAACTTTGCGCGGAGGAGACGATGGTCCGATCCCGTGTAGAACTTCGGAACAACAGCGACGTCGGTCAGGCAAAACCTTCGATTGAAGATGATGTGGTCTATCTCGTTATGGAACTGTCCATCAGGTGACTCCCAAGTCCAGCGAAGGTGAGAGGGCTTCTGGAACTGCGAGTTACCATGGATGGTGTTGGTCGACATGATAAACTCAGACAGTCTTTCGCCCTGCTCATTCCAATCCATTCCGTGAGTACCGATGTGAAGTTCTTCAGCCGTTCTTCTCGGGCCAATCTTGGCGTTGAAGTCGCCGACGATGACCTTGAAGAAGGTATGATCTTCCTTGTAGAACTTCTCCAATTCCATATAAAATGCTTCGTGTTCCTCCTCGTCGTAGCTCGATGTTGGTGCGTAGGCGACGAAGATTGTCAAAGCAGGAGTTGATCCACATCTTCTCAATCTCAAACGTCCGATTCGGGTCGTAAGGCTTTCGTACGAATCGATGTTTATGGCCAAGTGCGTGTTGACGAGGACACCCACACCGCCAACGCCTCTGCTGTCGCATGTTCCAAGGAACAGTTCTTCTCCAGTATCGAAAACGGCGTGTAGCGGGCGGTGCCTTCTCGTCTCGGTCAGTCCGATGACGTCGTACTTGATCTTCCTGGCTTGCATCATCAGATCTTCGATGTGAGCTTCGGATGCAAGCGTCCTTGCGTTGAAAGTACAGATCGCCATCTTAGTCCTTCTTCGTTTAGGCAGCCTATCCGGGCCCTGAGATTCTAGCAGCCTCTCCCGAGCGGTCCTACCCAACGCTGCCGTATTGGGGGCTCCCTCAGGTTCAGGGGAATGAGGCCCATCCATATTGCTGTTTCGGCATATTGAAGGCACACGAGTAGCTTGCCAGGCTCTGTCGTGTGGGCTAGGATAGACCTCCAGGTAGTTAGCCACGCTATCCTGGAGCGGAACAAGGGGCTTATTTTTGGAGGCGGCCCCGAATCGCCTCCCATGTACTTCCCAGTCACTTGAATGCAAGCTTTTGGCTGTGCCGACATGCAGGATACCAACCGCACACACACAGAGCGCACCACACACGCAAGCATGCATGGATACACCTGTATGGAGAAGCTGGTATGAATCGACACAGCACTACAGAGACAGGGAGTCCATCCCGTAATATCCAGTCACATATACCATGACTTCCACGCCGTGTGGATTAATTATGTATGTGCATGATAAGGACCATTAGTCGTTGCCAAGCGTTGATCCAGTTCAAACAGTAGGAATCTCTGAGCTATTAATTTTTGGGAGCTTGTTCCTACATTTGCTCGTGTAGAGACCAATGTCCATGTAGACGGCGCCGGATTACCTGGAAAATTGTATCTAATCTACGCTATATGCATCCCTATACAAAATGATGATAGAGTTTGAAAACATCAAAAAGTTGACCTTTGCTCCTAACAATAAGTGACGAGCCTAATACATGGACATCAGAGAAGAAAACAAAAACTACTGAAATGTCAACGAGAAGCCGAAAAATCCTTAATCCTATTTTTGCAGGGTTACAACCATCTCAGTTCTTAAAAATGAAGAAAGTTTTGCTTCACTTCCTTACTTCCATCACTGTGCTTAACTCAGCCCCTACTGCTTTGGTCAACGACTCAAATATAAACTCGAACTCTAATGCCTCCATCAACGACTCACCTTTAAACTCAACCTCTTCTGCTTCAATCCACGACTCACTTATGAACCCAACCTCCAATGCCTCTATCAGCGACTCACTTTTGAACTCAACCCCTACTGCTTCGGTCAACGACTCACTTACAAACTCAACTTCTAATGTCTCGATCAACGACTCACATTCCAAGTCAACCACTACTGCTTCCGTTAACGGCTCAGGAGTGGACAGAACACTTGTTGATCGGGAAGAAGGCATGCCACAGTTCCGAGGTGAACAATGCACTTTTGATGTTTCCAGTAAAGCTCATTGAGCAAAGTTTCATAGACGCGTGGATGAGCAGGTTATAGCCAGGGTGGATCAATAGGTTGGTCTGCCATTTGCGATGATGTGCGAGCAACACTGCGAAGATATTGTTACTGCATTAATGCTCTACAGATGCCTGTCTGTCGCAAGCGCGGTGTGGACCTATTGCGATCGACCTCACAAGTCAGTGGGCTCTGCCTAGCAACCTCCTGACGCCTCGAACCCTTCGGTCCGAGGTCTTTTCATCCGGGCTCGCAACAGCTCTCCTGCGCACCCCACGGGAGAGGCGGACCAAGCCTCATGGGGTTCCCAATAAGTCCCTATGCCTCCCGCAGACTCCTGTTTGCGGCATGGTTGGCCCTTGACTCTGACTCGGGAGTCAGGGGCACCAGACTCGTGGTAACCATGCCGCAAACAACACAATGAACACATAGAATTAGCGCAAAACCCACAATGAGCAACCAAACACAACATTTGAACATTATATTTGTTCTACGTAATAGCTTACAATCACTTCTACGCGTTGCCTGGTGAAGACCAACCTGCCACCGGTTAGACCCAGGCATATTGATAGAGTCTGGAAGTACTGATCATAAATATGGGCATTAAACTGCTATATGCACTCCCGAAGGAAGTTTAAAGCCTTCAAAGTTGGCAGGAAACGGGCACCATTCATTGAAGTCAGCTGAACGCTGGTGGCGCACCGATAGTTCTTTCGCTTCGGTGGGGAGCGAACCCACAAAATCCCGCTCGTTTGTTCGCTATCCACAAAGCGAAAGTTTTTTGCACACTGTTTCTCACATCTAGCCAGAACTGCTATTCCGATTTTTGGCATTCATTCAACAAAACGATATGTCTGAGCGAGTAGGTCAAATGTTTGATGCGGGAGGTCAAATGGACTTGCGTAGGTTGTATTGACTGTACGGGTTGCATAGAGGTAGCATCAATAAGATGAGCGGTTTGCGAACAACATGTCCGCTTTTCCACATTGCGTTGCTCCATCAGTTTCTAAAGTGGTCATCACTTTCAAATTTTGGAGTTGGTATCTTATTCCCTCAATGTAAAATAAACAATTGAAACATCAAGGAACTCCATCTTCGAAGAACCTAGATGACAACAGTAAATGAGAGCCGGTACAGCTTCCATTAGGATAGATGTTTAAAGTGTAATTTCTCGCTACAGTGAGGAATAAACCCACCAGCTACCAACTACAAAGGGAGAACTTCAAAGGCACAACCGAGGCAGAGGTCGTGTGAACGCTTCTCTTTGGTCTTGTTAGTATAAACCTAAAGATCAAAGAAATGGCGATTCCCGGATACCACGAGAAAACAATCGACAACAGCGTTTGGGCCTTGGAAAGTAAGCTGCTTGAGCTAAATTTTTCAGGCTGTAGTCTGTGGCGTCTCTCACCTCACACTCTCCTCTCTGCGCTAGTCTCTCATTAGCTCATTCTTTAGCACAGCCCATTAGGAAAGTAAGCGAGCCCGTCACTCAAGCGTTTCTAACAGATTCAACTCCTTTTTTCCTCTTTCCGGCTCATTCGCACCAACATATTCGTATTCGTGTGTCGAAGGCTCACAGTCATCCTTAAAAAAGCAAGCGTACAGTTCGCTCATTTCCCATATTTATAATCAGCATTCCAGACTGTTGATCCCTGGGTCTCTACACAAAACTCCGTGGGAACTTGAAAGTTATCCCTGGTTTGTCTCAAACGAGGCCGCGCCTGTGGTATAATGTGGGCGACAGTCATTTGCTTAAGAAGTTTGTGAGGTGCTTAGATCAGTAGGTAGGCGAGATTGAGTTAGGAAGGTTCTGGAAACATGTCAGAACAGTGTGCTTTGTGGCTGATATCTTCTGTAAGCTCTCCACGAGGTTGTTTAAGCAGACTTTATTGGCTTATGTTTCGGCGGGGTCGCCTTCTTCAGGGAGACGGGGTTTTGTCTTTTGGGGCCGCCGACCGCGCCGTTTCGCACGCGGCGATTGCTCGGCGAAAGCGATGTGACGGTTCGCTCCGCCCATCTGTGGCATTTTGCCAAGTTATCGGGCTGTCGATCGATAGACTGCCATATATTTGCTAGGCTGATATTGTTTTACTGACGGATTGAGGTGAGTTTGCTCATTCAAAACTAATTGGGATTGCTTTATATAGGTTGCATTAGTTGTCTGTAGTTATCGAATCATTTTTTAGTCCTATGTACTCACAATGCCAATAGAGGATTGATTAGTGGTTGGAATTATATGGTTCTAGCCCTCTTCAACCCTATTTTGGCTGTTTGAGTGACCTGTCGTTAATTTGACTGACCTTTTTCTGCCAAACAGGCAACTTTTCTTGGCATAGGCGCTGTTTGAGTGACCTTGTTTTTAATTTGACTGACCCGTTCTTCCCAATGGCAGCGAACGAGAGTAGATCATGAAATACGGGCGGTATACCTACACACATATGAAGTCTAATCCTTAGCGCAGTCTTTTTCACTCCTACAGTTTTGATTGCGGAATCCATTTCGTTTTCTGACATGTTTTATTTTGTTGTTTGCCGTAAGCTTTGACAAGTTCTCTTTTGACAGTGGCTCAAAAAAAAACGGCACGGCTACGGCAAAAAAGAAACCAAACCACCAATCCAATACTTTAATTATAACAACGATCAGCCCACAATTATAACGGCGGAAGGGTTCAACTGACTGACTCCTCAAATGTGTATGCCTATTGAAAAAAGATACACCAACTAACCTCCACATCGCAGAATCGCCGCACACGCGGCGAGCCCGATCGCCGCGTGCGTCGGCAGCCTGACCCCAGGAGGACAAACGCCACACACAGCCCCTTCTTCAGAGCCTGAAAGGATCGAAGCAATTTATGACTACCCGACCAAACGCCTCCGCTATCCTACTGAAATTCGAGAACAAAACAGGTCATCACGCAATACCAAGGTGGGCCACTTACCGTAACTTAGTCCGGTACTCGAGACCACCCGGAACCAGTAGTGGGACACACAGCAATCCGGACTAAACTTGATTTAGAGTTACTGGTGGAAGGCCATCCTTATATAAGTCTGCTTAACAACTTCGTGGAGAGCTTACAGAAGATATCAGCCATCAATATACCATGCCGAGGTTCTTGCAAAGCCGTACATTTCGAGTGTGCTTTGTATTAGTTACTGATACTCGAATAAATCTTGAATGTCACTCGGATGCCGGGTTCTTCTGACGTTTCCATCGTTTTTTTTCAGAATATTATCTCATAGAATACAAAAAACGGATGTTCTACTACGACGCCCATCCGCCTTTAGGATTCCAGGAGACATTATGCAGTAATAATAGGACTATATTCATTGAAACAGTGCGTTGTTCTTTGCTCGACATGTTGTTGGTGCGAGGAAAGTTATCCAATACTTCAACTACTGGAGTAGTTTATTTGCAACCTTATGATGAATGTTGAGAGTAGATGGGGTTCTGACCTGCTATGCTAAATGTTAGAGATGAACTGGAGGGGCATGAAGATTTCGTAGCCGAATCCACCGGTTACTGGCCGGTCGTTTGATCCTGCGATTTTGTTTTCATCCTTTCACAGCTTAGACTGGATTCGCTCACATATTGCCAACACAAGTATGGCACACAGTAATAAAAAACGCGAACTAAAACTAAAAGAAATGCAGAAATACGTACGTAGACGAATCCATAGTCTAAAACAGCGTAAGAGTGAAAAGAGAGTCGCGTAGTTAAAGCAACAGTCCCAGCAGGGTGGGCGTGGTCGGAAACGACTGCAATCCCTCGGCCGATTCCGACCACGCCCACTTCAGCTCCCTCCCTAGCGGCTTTCCAAGGTGAGTTTTTGTTCAGTCACACTTCTTACGTTCTTGACTAGGGGCTGAACAGCTCCGAAGTGGGAATCGGCCGAGGGGATTGCAGCCGTTTCCGACCACGCCCACCCTGCTGGGACTGTTGCTTTAAAGAACCGGTTAGCAAGGGTTTTGCGACAAAACACTTGCGGGCTCATCCCTTCTTCAACACTCATCATTCTGCCTTTCTGCTCAAGCGGCCGGAGTCAAGATGGTGAGGGACCAGCAATGTAGCCATTCTGTAAGGCTGCTATCATACTTTGCGCCAGTACGTACGCCATACTTCGTTGTTATGTTATTCGAGTCTCGTATCCGCGTTCACACGCAGTCAATCCACACCGACTCGTTCGGGGCAACTGAAAAATATCAATCAGGGCAACAACAAAGAGGACCGAGCTAAAAAAATATGATGAACGCAAAACGTCTTCACAAAATATGAGAAACGGAGGAGATGCACCGAAGTGAAGGTTATCGGTCGGAAAGCGCCGACAGCGTGCCAAGTACGCATCGTGCGCCAGAGCGCGTGTTGACGCTGTTCACCCTCCTGCGTTTGCGGACCGCACCAGCGCAAAGTATGAGCGCAGCCTAAGTATGCATAGCTGCAGAGGAAATTCACCGCCGCGAGTGAGGATCTTTTAGGCTGCTACGGTACAATATCTGCAGCAAAACGCTCCTCGTTTCCTTCAGGGGACCTACCTCCTTTAATATTACTTTTATTTCTCCTTCCAGTTTAGCGCATCACCTGCCTTCAATAGCGATCACCTAAAGATAAAGGATAAACAAAGGATAAAGCATTTGCTGTTCGTCAGTCCATATTGGGACGCGACACGCATTTCCCTTCCAAAAAAGTCGTTTTCCTGTCCTAGCGACCCACATCCAGTGCTGGATACGCTACAGGTGTATCTGTTGTCACGTTGTGGTCCAGGAGGGACATGAACCCGCTGTTACAGCTATAAGCTTTCAGCTTTCCTACAAGCTTCCTGGATACTTGTTGACCATTCTTCTGCAACAGTTCTCACAGAAGAGACGCCCATAATGATGCATTGTTGTGAGGAGAATGTACGGCCTGGAATGAATATGCTAGAGCCTCGTTTCAATCTTCACAACAAGGCGCTAGCCCTTTACATCTGCGTCACCCACCACGTCTTCTCCCAAGCTTTTTAGATGTCACA